CATGAATCACTTTAAGGAAAGTCAGCCTCTAAATTTTGAGCTGGAAAGTCACTGGAATAACTGTTCAGAAAAGAATCACAACTACATGACTTGACATATTGGTACGTATGTTAAGAATTGTGTACAAATTGAAATGTCTGTGTACTGATCCTCAAAACAATAAAATCTCAATTATGAAAGAATTATTTGAGGCACATGGATTAAGTTCTGGCTTAAATTTTATTTAAACAAGTTCCATGTACTTCCAGAATTTTATTTTATTGTAAATGACTTGGATGTGAGGGCACGCGGATGTGTGGGCGATCTGGCTGTGACATTTCTCACCCCATTGATCACAAGGGTTATAAATTACTTGAACACATCTACATTGTACTTTTTTGTTGATCCTTACCCAAAGATATTTTTCCATTGATTTTTATTCTTAAGAGAGAGTGAAAGGGAGGGGAGAGACAGAAACATCAATTGGCTACCTCCTACGTGCGCCCTGTCAGGGCCCAGGAATCTAACCTGTAACCTAGGTACCTACCCTTGACCAAATCAAACCTGCGACCCTTTAGTCTGAGGGCTGGTGCTTTATCCCTTAAGCCAAACCGGCTAGGGGTAGGGCTACGTTGTACTTTAAAAATGTGTGATTGCATTGGTTCAATAATGGAAAAATAGTCTAATGTCCTCTGAAGCAAAATAAGTACTCACAGGTAGTAAGCTTGTAAGTACTGACTAGGCTAGAACTAGGCCCGGTGTGATTTGTATTTGCGTATTTTTGCTTCCATTAAAAATGTATTTCCAACCCTCAGCCACGGGGTTCCGCCACTGGCGGCAGCCTGCGCCCTGGGCGAGGTCACTTCAAGGAGACCAGGGGCCTGCAGCTGCCACAAAAGTGGTTGTGAGCACAGGAGCAGAGGTTGGGCCACATGAAGGCTCCAGGGTCTTCCCGGCCTAGCAGGCCGCCCATGGGACCCTGCTCAGAGGGGAGGGACACCGGCCTGGGCGAGGAGGTGCCCCTAGGATCGCCCTGGCTGAGCCTGACTCGCTCCTGCTGGCACCGGCCAAGCCCCCTGGGCCACGTCATCAGCCACCAAACAGCAGTAAGCCGGCCTCAGCGGGTCTCCCCATGCTGTGCGCCTCCTCGTCGCTGTATAGCATTTTATGTTGAGAACATGGTTTTGTCAGATTTAGAGATTTTCCCCTTTGAAACAAGCATGATGAAATGAAAATATGGGTAATTTCTATTAATCTTTACAGATATATCCTAAAGGTATATATTTGCCTGTCACAATCCACAATTGTTAATGAGTTTGCAGTAAAAATACTTAATTGCAAAACAGCTAAAAGTTTCAAAACATTAGGCTTTGAATAGGTAAGAGCCTTAAATAGATGATGGGAAGCAGCTCAGTAACAAGTCGGTTTACGGTACAACAATAATATATGATGTTTTGTTTAAAAAAAAGGACCTGAGCCCAGCCGCATTGGTCAGTGGTGGGGCATTGAACCAGAAGGTCACCGTTCAGTTCCTGGTCAGGGCACAGGCCCGGGTTGTGGACTTGATCCCGGTGTGCAGGAGGCAGACGATCAATGATTCTCATCACTGATGTTTCCATCTCCCCCTCCCTTTCTAAAATCCATAAAAATATATTTTTAAAAAACACATGAAAAATAAATATAAAGTCAAGCCATTTAATCCCCAAAGTTAAAAGTAGTTATTTTAGACATGGTGAATTTCCTTCATATATGAGTTTTTATTTGTAAAATGTGTTAATACTTGCTTAATGGTTCACCATGTGACTATGCCATAATTTGGCCGTTACAGTTAGATGTGTGCCGTTTTTTTTTAATTAGGAATAATTTTACCCATAGTCAAAGGCAGTACAGTATATTGATCCCCATGTACAGTCACTCCCAACAGCCATCAAACCATTGTCCAGATTATTTTGAAGCAAATAAAAATTAACATTTTTAAAATCATACATGTGAAATTAAAGAACAAAATGCACATAAAGCAAATTCAAATTTTACACATTTTGTCAGGATTGGATGCAAATTCAATTTCACAAGTTTTCTTTTAATCCAGTGTGGCTAGTTTCATCTTTAGAATCAACATACATCTTTCCAGAAGCTAATTCGACATGGATTAAAACCAAGTAAGTAAGTGGGTGTTTTGAAATCTTGAGGGCATGGAAATGTAAGGTGATGTGATTAAATGATAGAAAAGCATTGGGAGAAGGGAAGCCACAGCCCAGAGATGCAAGAGGGACTCAGGGTGGTGCCGGTGCAGGTCACTGCATGCCTTCTTGGTTGGATATGAATGTGAGCCCCCAGGGGAAGGGAGGGAAGATGGGTACGAGGCTTACCTGAAGCGATAATTCCTTTCTCAGAGGGTCTGAGGATCTCCAGTGCCGGGCACACACTGATGTCTGATGCTATTCCTCAGTGATTTTCAGAGCTTACAGCAACTGGATTCCTGGTGGGTTCCCCCCCACCTTTACAACGACACACATGTTATTGAGTAAAGCTTTAGAAAGTACATTTGACTTAACTTTAGGTGAGAGTTAAAGTTGAGAAGACCTGGCTGTGGTTCTTTTTTTAAAATACATTTTATTGATTTTTTACAGAGAGGAAGGGAGAGAGATAGTCAGAAACATCAATGAGAGAGACATCCATCAGCTGCCTCCTGCACACTCCCCACTGGGGATGTGCCCGCAACCAAGGTACATGTCCTTGACCGGAATCGAACCTGGGACCTTTCAGTCCGCAGGCCGACGCTCTATTCACTGAGCCAAACCGGTTTCGGCTGGCTGTGGTTCTTACTAGACGATGACAATTATTAAGTCCAGTGTTTCCTTACATCCTTAACTGGAAGGATTACTGCTGTGTTTTAGTTTTGCTTCATAACTAAATGTTAACATTAAATTTTATCTCTTTATAAAATGTATAGGAACTTTATGTTACCCATAGAAAATTCTAGTTGAAAAACATGAAAGCTAATGATAAATTTAAGTTATATGAAAAATTTAAGTACACTCATCTGTTATGCATGATTCATTGAGAGAAAAAGCTGACAGTCTTCATTCTTGGATGTGTCCGTGTCAGGATTGGCTGCACATTCTACTGCACAAGGTTATAATTTTTACCAGTGCTGATTTGGGTTTTCACAAGAAATGTATTTCGACAGTCTTAACTGTTGTAGCAGGATTACTCACTTTTGCTTCATTTCTTACTATCTTTGAAGCCAAAGAGAACGAAATATTGAATTCAACAAATTTAACTGAGCTACTATGAATAAGGTGGTCCCTCAGATATCAGGGGAAACAAATCCTAGTGCTGGCAAGGGAGCTCATTGCTCTCCCGAACTTCTGGGACTCAAAATGGGTCTGGGTTGGTGCAGATGCACAGTCCAGTACATCCACAATGTGCAACCAGCAGCACAATCCATCGCCATTGCTCTTTTCATCTTGGAAAACAAACTCTGACCCGGTAAACAGTAACACCCCATCCCTCTTATTCCCTGCAACCTATTCTTTTTCCTCTGTGATTTTGGCCACTCTAAGTACCTCATCTAAGTAGAATTATACAGCCTGTCGTCCTCCTGTGACTGGGTTATTTCACTTAGCACAATGTCCTCAAGGTTCACCCCTTTTGTAGCATGTCAGAAATTTCCTTCCTTTTTAAGGCTGAATAATATTCCATTGTATGTAAGTTCCAGTTTGTTTATTCATTCATCTGTTCATGGACGCTTGGGTTGCTTTCATTTTTTGACTGTTTTGCAGAATGCTGCTATGAACACAAGTATACAAATATCTTTTCATATCCCTGCTTTCATCTTGTGAATATACCCATAAGTAGAATTGCTGAATCATATGTTAATTCTATGTTTAACTTTTTGGGGAACCCTCATACTGTTTTCCATACTGGCTACACCAATTTACATGCCTACCAACAATGCACAAGGGTTCCAATTTCTCCACATCCTCACCCACATTTGTTATTTTCTGTTTTTTTGTTTTGTTTTGTTTTGTTTTAATATATTTTATTGATTTTTTACAGAGAGGAAAGGAGAGAGATATAGAGAGCTAGAAACATCGATGAGAGAGAAACATTGATCAGCTGCCTCCTGCACATCCCCCACTGGGGAAGTGCGCGCAACCCAGGCACGTGCCCTCGACCGGAATCGAACCCGGGACCTTTCAGTCCGCAGGCCGACGCTCTATCCACTGAGCCAAACCGGTTTGGGCTATTTTCTGGTTTTTAAATAGTAGCCAGCAGATGAATCTGAGGTGATATCTGCTTAATTTGCATTTTCCTATGATCAGTGATGCTGAGCATCTTTTCATGAGCTTATTGGCTCTTTGTATCAATTCTTTGGAAAATGTCTATTGATGTCTTTTGCCATTTTTTAAATTAGGTTACTGTTTGTTTTTTATTGTTGAGTTTTAAAAGTTCTCTCTATAAGCATAGCCAGTGCACATAAGACACTGGTGGGTAGGGGAGGCCGAGGGATTGTCAAGGGGGGGGGGCGCGGGGGGAGATGGAGACATATGTAATACTCTTTGTAATATTTTAAGCAATAAAAATAAATAAATAAATACAAGTTCTCTCTATATTCTGGATATTAATTCCTTATTAGATACATGATTTTCAAATATTTTCTCCCATTCTTCCACTGGGATTTTTTTTCTAATATATTTTTTATTGATTTTTTACAGAGAGGAAGGGAGAGAGATAGTCAGAAACATCGATGAGAGAGAAACATCGATTAGGTGCCTCCTGCACATCTCCTGGGTTGTGGATGTGCCCGCAACCCAGGTACATGCCCTTGACCAGAAT